GCCAAGAGTGAAAGAAAAGATAGAGTGTCACTCCAACCCCGTGCACCAAAAGCTGGGCATGTGTGTGCTGATTAGCCTTGGCATGGTGATTTGCATGTTGGAAACTGCTAACGTATTCACGTACTTGACTGTGTCTCTTCCAGTTAGATGTAATAAATGCAGATTTGGGTGGCCATATTTTTTTTTTTAAAAGATTTTATTTATTTATTTGAGAGAGAGAGAATGAGAGACAGAGAGCATGAGAGGGGGGAGGGTCAGAGGGAGAAGCAGACTCCCCGCTGAGCGGGGAGCCCGATGCGGGACTCGATCCGGGGACTCCAGAATCATGACCTGAGCCGTAGGCGGTCGCTTAACCAACTGAGCCACCCAGGCGCCCATATGTTTTATTTTGATGTAACCGTTTTAACCTTTAAGGCGTGTGTGAGTGTGCATGTGTATGCACAGACGTGCTCGCCAGGGTAGCTCTCCAGTTCTCTAGGGCTGGCCTGACTGGAGGTAAGCTGGTATTTTAAGTTGCAATGTGATTAGCTTATTATTAGAAACTCCTTCTTGTGAATCGTTACTTTCTTCCTCCCTCCTTCCTTTCTTGCCCCCTCCTTCCTCCTTCCTCTCTGCCTTTCTTCCCTCTCTCCTTCCTTCCCTCCTTTTTCCCTCCCTCTCTTGAGCAAGTTGACTCATATCTGTAAGACTTACTTCCCTCCTCTGTAAAATAGGGCTGATAACAACACCTATGAGAATTTTTGAGGAATACAGAAGATACTACGTATGAGGCATGGAGTGCAGTGTTTGGCACATAGTGAGTGTTCAATAAATGATAACTGTTCCTCTCATTATCATAGGCTGTTCGTCTTTCAGCGGGTTCCTTAGCCTTCTGAACCTCAGTTTCTCCATCCAAAAAATGGTCTCATGCCATTCCTTACATGAGATTATTGTGAAGTGCAAAGGAGATAATTAGGTATTATTTTTATTAGATACTCAGTGAATGAATGAATGAATGAATGAATGAATGAATGAATTCAGGGACGCATCGTGTATTAGCCAGGATAGGATTTTTACAGTAAAAACTTCCCCTAAATTTTGGCCTGAGACAGTAAATTTATTTCTCTGTCTCGTCTCACCTCAATGCAAATGGACAGGAGGCCCTGCTCCACATACTCATTCAGGGACCCACACTCCTTCCAGCCAAGGCTCCGTCCTCTGCAGGAGCCTCCAAGTCCTCTTCCTTCAGTCCACGGGTGGGAAAGAAGGTGGCAGATCTCACGCAGGAGATTTTTATGGGCCAGGCCCGACAGTGGCCACTTCGGTTCTGGTTCCAGCGGCCTCTTAGTGCAAACCTGGCCACAGGGAAAGCTAGGGGATGTCCTAACTGTGCACCCAGGATAGCAAAGAGGATGACATCTCAGTCTGGATCAAGGTTCCCAGAAGCCACGACGTGAGGGTTGCCGACTGCTTCTGAGACTCGCAAAATTATACTGATGAGCCCAACTTGATGTCATACAGGGTTGGAAGAAGGACAAAGGAGAGACGCACGTGTGGAACGGCTGTGGAGCCCCATGTCTCTTTTCTGGCTCTGGGTTCTGGACGTTGGGGCCACAAAGTCCCTCCCTCCGTCCTTGGCCGTTGGCTCCTTTGGAATCCATTAGCGAGTTTCACCATTGTTTTTCTGATTTCATTAAAAAATGCCACCAAGACACATGCTCTGCAGTATGTCACTTCAGTCCTAAGTGGGGCATTTTTGCTAGATGGATCGATTTTTTAAATGACAGCATCTGTCTGCTTGTACACATTTATTTATAATTCCTCCCTTGGCAATTAGAGCCGGGGAATTGGTGAGCCGTAACCAGCTGTTTGAATTAGCCAGGAAGGGAGGCAGGGATGTGATCTGTGAAGGAGTACCAGAGCCCTGGCCAGAAGCAACAAAAATGGAACAGATGCCCCCAAATACACCATTCCGGGGAGGGACTTATAAATCACATACACTGCCGGCCCAGCAAGACAGCAGCCGAGCTGGGTAAGGCGGAGAAGCCCGTGACTGTGGGTGGCTGGGTTTGGCCCCCTCGGGGACTTAAGGGCTGTGTGTGGGAGGATGGCAGAGTAGCTGAGGGGGTGGTCCCTGGTGAGCTGGACCCTCTTTTGATTCCCCATTGCACTCAGGGTGAAACCCAAAGTCTTCCCCCTGGTCCACAAGGCCCTACAGAATGGAGTCCTATTACTCCTCTGCCCTCCCTCCCTCCTGTTCTCCTGCCTCCAGCCACCCCAGCTCCCTGGGGGTCCTTGCTGCTCCTAGGACGTGCTGAGTGCGCCCCTCCTCAGGGCCTCTGGGGCTCCAGCTTCCCCTGCCTGGAGCTCTCCTCCTCCAGGCTTCTTTCCACCTGTGATCCCGATGTTCCATGGCCCAACTCAGGATTTTTCAATTGTCCCAAGGCATGAAAGCGATACATATTTAGTAGAAACCATACTAGGAGTTTTCAGTGTGGATTTTTCCCTGGGCTGGTGACAGGCAGTGCACATCCTCGTGTGATGCGGGGCAGGGGCAGCGGGCCAGGCGATCGCCAGGGTCAACCGCTGACACTCACAGTTGTCCTGTACCCATATAAGCCTTCTGTTTGCCGCTTTCAGAACAGTATTCAGTTACCGGAGCTAGTCAACACTTATTTACAAAATAGGCTCTGTGTTGGGTGCTTTTGCCCAACTGCAGGCTAAAGTAAGTGTTCTGCGTGCATTTAAGGTAGGCGAGGAGGCTAAGCTGTGATGTTTAGTAGGTTAGGTTAGGTTAGGCGCTCATGATAGCAAGGACCTTGTCCATCTTGTTCACTGCTGAACTGTGCCCGGCACACAGTAGGTGCTCAGTAGAGATCTGCTGACCCCATGAAGGGATATTTCATTTTGGGGGAGGAGGGGACACATTGCCCCCTCTTGCCCTCCCTCTCTGCTGTTTGGGGGTGGGGTCACAGAAAGCCCAGGTCACTTAGGGTGGCTCCCTGGGGACAACCAGTCCTGTATTCTTGATCTCCGTAGCTCCCCAGGGTCTAGCCAGAGCCTGGCGCACAGCAGGTGTTCAATGAATCATTATTAAATAAAAAGATGCCTCAATGACCCAACTTGACAGTCAACAACGCTCCAGGCAAAAAAGAAAGCATCATCCAGATGCCTTCTTCTCTTTCCTTGCCCAACACCAGCGAGTCTGACCAGCAGCACCTCTAAAATCCGCCTCGATGGAAGCTCCAGTCTCCAGTTCCTCCTCTAGTCCGCATCCCTCACCCAGACAACCCCAACTCCTCGCCCGTCCTGGCTGCTACTCTTGCGCCCCCTACAGTTTAGCCAGAGGCGATCTGAATCTGTCAGTCATGCCGTTCTCCCACTCGCCACCCTTCAGGAAGCCCAGGTGTCATCTCAACTGTCACCTCCTCCCCTGACCACCCCATCTCATCCGGTAACCCAGTCCGTGCCCCAGCCCCGCAGAGATGAATGGCTCCAGGAGGAGGGGCCGAATTCCAGGTGGGGCTGCCCGGTCCCCTCCCCCACCTCTCCCCACCTGCTTTTGTGGGGGACGCAGCATCACATTTTGATACATGACTTGATATTTTCTGTTGTTCCTCCTTCCTCCAGTTCCCCCTTTTCCTTCTCATCAAAGCAGGCAGCTGTGGCCTCAGGGGAGAAATATAGCAGAAGGGGAGGAAGAAATAGCTCGTAAGTCTTTTTTGGCTTTTCTTCCCTTTTAGGAGAAGTTAGAAGCTGCAGGGGGTTTGAGGCGCTAAGAAACATCTTGGAGCAAGAGTGGGGGGAGAAGGGGACTCCCTCCACAGACTGCAGAGAGACTGCACTTGGCTGGGGCAGGGGAGGGGCGTGGGGGAGAGTGCTGCCAGGCCCGAGCATCAAGTCCTGGACTCCACTGCCCTGCGTCTCCCTGGGGAGGCAGCGAGGCCCTGGGGAAGAGGCTGCCTCTAAGACCAGAGACCCCAACCCGGGGCCCCCTTGGGCTGCATCCTGCCCACAGCTATGCCTGTTTCGGCTCATGCTTTTTTTTTTTTTTTTTTTTAGTTGCCAACATCTAAGAGGTTGTATATTTCAAATTTCTCTTGAAAATTCATTTCCAGATTTGTAGTTGGTCTTGAAAGAGGAGACCGGGCCAGCACTGGGCCTGTGCTTGCATGAGGCTGCCCCCAGGGGGCCTGGCATGAACTCACTACTTCCCCCACAGCACCCCCTCCTTGCTGCTGGGTCACAGCCTGTCCCCTTGGTTCCTTTTCCTGACCAGCCTCTGAGTTCTCCAGCTCTGGATCACGGTGCCAGAGGCAGCCTCAGTAAAGTTTCCAGGGTCTCGAGCATGTTCTGAAGGCCACAGAGAGCTTCTGCTTCTGAAGGGGTCGCGTGGACAGGAAGGACGGGCATCTCGGGGGTAACCCATGGGGACAGATCCCCCACACATCCCACCCAAACTGACTGGCATCTCGGCCTGACACCCAGTCCCGACCCCAGAAAGAAGCAGGCCGAGAAGGTCTGAATTTGCTTTGGTGCCGGCTCGTAAGGGTCAGAGATTTTCAGTGGGTTAAGAAAAAATTTTAAAAACTGATATATTTCCTGAGCCACCCAATTTGTAAATGAGAGGAAAGGCTGATGCCACACATTACTCATTCTTCGGGGTCCAGTGTGTCCCCCCAGAAACAAAAATACCATTCTTAGGGTGGCTTTCTCACAGGACCGGCACAGTAGGGGGCTCTTTATATTCTCAAACTCCTGCAGACATCAGAATCATCTGGTGCTCAAGGCCTTTAAAACACAGATTGCCTGGCCCAGCCTCACTGTTTTGGATTCAGCGGGTCTCCAGTGGGGCCCTAGAATTTGTCTTTCTAGTAAGCTCCCAGGTAATGCTTATGCTGCTGGTCTGGGGACCACTCCTTGAGAAGCACCCATTTAGAGAATCGTATTAATTATTTCTCACAATCTTATTAGGGAGGAGGAGGAGGAGAAGGAGAAGAAGGAGGAGGAGGAGAAGAAGAAGGAGGAGGAGGAGGAGGAGGAGGGGAAGGAGAAAGAAGAAGAAAAAGGAGGAGGAGGAGGAGGAGAAAAGTTCATTTGCTCTCTTATGAAGCCAAGCCCGGCCACAAGGACGTGCATCTCTGACCTTGCAGAGGTGATGTGTCTGAGGGGGAAAGGATGGGTGGGTGGGGGTGGGGGGATGCCTAAGCCTGACTCCTCTCTTAGGCGGTGAGAAAAATAGTAGAGCAGTCCTCCCCCTTACCTGCGGTTTTGCTTTCCGCGGGTTTCAGTTACCTGCAGTCAAACCACGGTCCCGAAGCAGATGATCCGCTTCCTGCCATATGATCATCACCACAGCCTAACACTACGTCAAAATGCCTACGTCACTTCATCTCATCACGTGGGCATTTTAGCATCTCACATCATCACAAGAAGACAAAGGGTGAGTACAGGACACTAAGATAGAGAGAGACCACATTCACACGACTTATATTACAGTGTATTGTTCTAATTGTTCTATTTTATTATTATTGTCGATAATCTCTTTCTGTGTCTGATTTATAAATTAAACTTTATCACAGGTGTATGTGTATAGGAAAAAACATAGTATATACAGGGTCGCGTAATACCTGGGGTTTCCAGCATCCACAGGGGTCTGGAATTATCCCCGTGGATAATGGGGGGATTATTGTAATACGTCACAACTTTACAGCGATCACCATGCATTATCTGAAGCCCGTGGCACCTGTCAACTCCTCCAGCCCTCACAATAGCTCACTGGAGCCTCCTTGTCACCCTCACTTTATAGATGACAGAATCGGATCCACTCCGTCCAGTCAGCAGGCTGAGGAAGAGGGTGTGCTCACCTGCGAGGCTTTCCTGGGCGGGGTCTGGAAGCGATGATGTCACTTCTGCTCACTTTCACTGGCCGGAACTCAGTCACATGATCACACCTCACTGCAAGGGAAGCTGGGAGATGTAGTCTCGCCCTGCGCTCAGGGGAAACCAGAGATGGGATTTGCTGACTGGGCGGCAAGCTCTGCCCAGGCTCTTTCCTGCATTAAGGCCATTGAAGCCCCAGAAGGAGATGTTACGAAAGAGTCACACTGCGGCTGGACTGGAGTTCAATGCCAGGCCTCCTGGCTCCTCAGCACAATGGTACCTGGCTTCCCATGGAAGAGGAGAGGGAGGGCAAGGAAGCCGAAGAACAGTGGGATGAATATTGTCAACCAGGAATAGGAAGCTATATTCGAGGGACAGTGGGCAGAGGTGGGACTTGGAGTCCCAAGACGGGGTTTTAAGGCCTTTGAGGCCATTTTTCGCTGTGTGGCATTGTGCAACTCAGTTTTTCTCTGAGCCTCAGTTTATTGTAATAGGATGATAACCTGTCTTTTTTTTCTTTTAAGATTTTATTTATTTTATTTGAGAGAGAGTGCGTGCAAGCAGGGGGAGGATCAGAGGGGGAGGGAGAAGGGGAAAGGATCCCAAGCAGACTCCACGCTGCGAGCGGAGCCCAACATAGGACTTGATCCCACAACCTCAAGACCATGACCTGAGCCAAAACCAAGAATTGGACGCTTAACAGACTGAACCACCCAGGATGATGCCTATCTTGCTAGGGTATTTATGAGAGTAAAATGGGATAACACAGCCAGCCCGGGCAGCCCTTTATGTGCTCATTTAATCGGAATCAGAATCTGTGTTGGGGGTTATCACCCAGGACTGCACATCTGAATCACCTGGGGAGCTTTTCAAAAGGCCCACTGCCGGGTCCTTACCCTAGGATGTTCTGACTCATGTGTATGGGGGCGAGGTCAGAGCGTAGGTACTTTCTAAAAATCCCTCAGGTCGTTTTCATATGTAGCCAGGCTTGAGAACTACCTTTTATGGTTATTGACTATCAATCAGAATGGACCAACTGAGGGGGTGCCTGGTGGCTCAGTTGTTAAGGGTCTGCCTTCAGCTCAGCTCATGATCCCAGGGTCCTGGGATCGAGCCCCTCATCGGGCTCCCTGCTCCGCAGGAAGCCTGCTTCTCCCTCTCCCACTCCCCCTGCTTGTGTTCCCTCTCTCGCTGTCTCTCTCTCTGTCAAATAAATAAATAAATCTTAAAAAAAAAAAAAAAAGAACGGACCAACTGAGATCTCCTCCTTCCTTAAGGAGTGAAGGGATTCAGGGTCTCCCTGGGAGAAGGCCTTTAGAGTTGGGCTGGGGTTGACCTCAACACCCTTTTGGGGGACCCCCCACAAGCCGCGTGGGTGGGTGGGCCTGGAGCAGGAGAGGTCTGCTGTATTTGGCTTGTATCTTGGCTGAAAAGCAGTGCAGAAAAGTGCCTGTGGAAGGAAAGGGAATGAAGGCCTGGTCCCGCCCTGGATTTTTCTCTCCATCATCTGCTCCACTGAGACTGGCAGGTGCCAAAACTTACAAATGGCCCTGGCCTGATGTTCCACGTACAACAGTAAAGTGTCATAATTTCTGGGCGATGACCAGGTGGGACAACTTTCTGCCTACTCAAGTGACATGTGGTAGCAGACATTTGAATGAGTCGCTTTGCGGGACCGGCAAGAGACAGGAAGTGCCACCTCGGGGCTGTCACTCTCAGGGAGAGGGGAACAGCTGTAGGCTTGTGACTCTGCTGATTCATTTGGAGTTCCCCCCCCCCCCGAGATGGGCGTAGAGGTTGGGGCCTGCAGATTTTTTATTTAACAGAAGATTTACTACATACGTTGTACTTCACATGTTGCTTCACGTGGTGCTTTACGAATGTTAACGCAATTAAATCCCTACCATAACCCTATAAGGTTGATACTATTACTAGCCTCATTTTATAAATGGGGAAACTGAGGCACAAAGTGCTAAGTAAATTGCTCAGGGTCCCACAGCTGGTGAGTGAGTGGCGGAGCTGGGGTTCAGTGGATGCCACGTGGCCTGGCTTTGGCGTCTCTGCTCCTAAGTGCTGTCTTGCACTCGGGGTGACCAGCCATCTTGGTTTTCCTGGGACTGAAGTCTGTCCCAGGATGGATGCAGGACTTTGATGACTGGGACAGTCCTGGGCAGACTGGGACAGTTGGTCATCCTGGCTGGGATGCTCCTTGAAGTGTCACTGAGGACAGAAGATGGTTGATGATGAAAACAGAAGCCCCCCACTCGCCAATGTCCCTACAATCAGTATGCATAGGTTTTCCCCAACCCTGGCAATAAAATGTACAAGGTCTGTGTTAGAGCATGATAAGGACAAACATGACCCCTGCATTCTTGGAGCTGACATGCCCCTGTGGGGAGAATGACAATAAGCAGTTAGACAAAGAATATACTGGATCCCTTCAGATTGTGACCATGCTTTGAAGGGAATGAGGTGACAGAGGTGTTCAGATGGGGAGTTAGGGAGGGCATCCCTGGGCAAGCCACATTTGAAATAATAAGATGTGGCTATCAGGCTCCTGGCAGAAGGGATAGCAAGTGCAAAGGCACTGAGGCAGGAACAGGTTTGGCTTAGTGAAAGAGTAACAAGAGCTTGAGGGAACGGTAGGGGATGAAGGAGGTGAACAGGAGATGAATGTGGGATGCGGCAGTGACAAGGAATCTGGATGATATATTAAGAACAAGGCAGCCCCTGGAGGATGTTGAACAGAGGAGTAAACTGGCTTGAGTTACACTTTGCAGTGATGGTTCTGCCTGCTGTGTGGACCAAGGACGGTGAGGGGCTACAGGAGAAACAAGGAGGCTCATCGGGACGCTCATTGCCCTAGTCCAGGCAGAGGTGAAGATGGTATAGACTAACATGGGAGCAGTTGAGTCAGGATGAAGTGGGTGGATTTGGGAAATATTTTAGGCATAGAGGGATGAAATCTGCCAAGGCTAAGGAATGGTGTTGGGGTGGGGAGGTAAGGACAGGCCCCCCTCCTGCTGGAAGGGCAGAGGCAAGAGCACCAACAGAGATCCACGTACCATGTGTCAAGTTAACACGACCATTAAATAAAATATATCCTGCCCTCCTGTCCTGGCAAATCTCTTTGTCGGGACCTGGAAGGTCAGGTTTGCACTACAGCTTCTGTGACTCCTTGGGGTTCTGTGGCAGAATGTGGCAGCCAGGAGAGACTGGGGCAGTGTCCTCTGAGGTGTGAGGCCCCTCCTGCCTGCATCTAGGAGCTGTCCCGGGTTAGGGAGAAGGCGAAATCAGGGCTGACACCTGGGTTTTTGGCTTGAGAATAGTTGAGCCCAGACCCATCCTCCATTGTGAAGCTGCTTCTTTTTTTTTTTTTTTTTTCTTCAATGTTTCCCTCCCCCACGGCTGAGTTCCTGGTCTCTTTCTCTTCTTCCTCAAAACTCTGCTTTGGCAGGTTTAATGCAGGCAGGTCTTTGCCACTGACTTTGCAACCCCAGCCAGTGTCTAGTCCCCTTCGAGCCCAGCCTACTTAGCTGTATAATGGGGCCACTGATACATTCTTCCTACCTCCCTGCCACTTGGTGAATGAAGAATGCATGTAGAGTGCGTGTGGCAGAGACGGTTGTCCATTTGCCAAATCCCTGTGCTTTTTCCTCTGGGCACATGGCCTGCATTTCCCAGTCCTAGTTGCCGTGGAATATGGCCACGGGACTAAGTTGTGGCTCATGACATGTGACATCATCACTTCCAAACCAGCCTATTACAGCCTCCCCCGTGAGATCCTTCTTACCATGCCCCTGTCCGCTGGCTGGATGGAGGCTCCAGCAGATGGCTCTGACACCTTAGAACAGGGCTACATCCTGCCTGCTGCCTGTTCTTGTCAGTAAAGTTTTATTGGCACACAGCCATGTCCATTCATTTCTGTATCATCTATGGCTGCACATTCTCACTGTAATGGAAGAGTTAAGCAATTGTGACAGACTATATGACGCACAGAGCCAAAAATATTTACTATCGTGCTTTTACAGGAAAGTTTGCTGACCCTTGCCCTAGGTCAAGCCATGAGACAGGAAGAGCCTGGAGCCCTGAGTAACCACATAGAAGGTGGCCACATGGATGCCAGGAACCTCTATGTGGGATTCTCCCTGAGCAAGAATAAAAGCTTATTGTGTAAGCCTTTAATATGTTGTGGTTTCTTTGTTATAGCAGCTGGTATTGCTTATCCTGACTCATGCAATGCCTGCTACATTGTAAGCAAACAACAAATGATCACTTCCTCTCATTCTCCTTATTTTTACACTCTCCATAAACGATTGTGTTTGGAACAGCTCAGGAAAATGGATTGGGCTTGATTCAGGCTCTCTCTCATCCTCAAGTCTTGGTGCAAGCTGCTCCTAACTGTTCTGCCAAGAACATTTGTTCCCCGTTTCTTCACCCTACTGTCTCCTACTGATTAATCCTTCAGGACTCAAGGTAGCCAACACGACTTCCAAGTAACCTTCCTTTCCTCCTTTGTCCTCCAAGATTGGGTTAGGTGCCTCTGTAGCGTGTTCCTAAATAACCTTCCAGAGACAGTATAGCAGAGTGGTAAAGAGCTGAACTTGGGCTAGGCCACTTGACGTCAAGTCCTGACCTGCCACTTACAAGGTGTAAGATGTTGGGCAAGTAGCTTCACCTGTAAGTGTCTCCATATCCTCATCTGTAAAATGGGAATATCTGGTATCTGTCTGGTAATGTGGTTGTGGGAAGTAAGTGAGTTAAAGAGCTTAGAATAACATCTGCTGCCCGGGAAGGGCTGAAGGAATGTTAGATGACATCAGGACCATCATTTTTATTGCTGTTCCTAACCCAGCATGGATCCCACGCTCCCCAGTGATAACATTTCCCAGTGGGATATGAGATACTTGATGCATAACAGACTCTTGATACACATGGTTTGGTAAATGAGTGAACTGGTAGCTGGTGCTCAGTCCTCTGGGGCTGGGGATAGGGCAGGCCTTCCAGACAGAGCTGCCCAGGTTGTGCCTTAGAGAGGACTAGGGACTAAGGTAAAGTCATGTAGTTTGAGCAGGGGCAGTGTCTGCTCAGAGGAGATGGCTATAAGCTGGGGATCCCAGCCACTCCAGCAAGCTTAAGTAGGAGAGGAATAAAAAATGACTCAACAGATCACAACATTTCCAGAGGACTGGCATAAGATGTGGAAGCTATACATGCAAGAAAAAAAATCTAAATTACACCCCCCAGACGGCTCTGGGAGAGACCCTATCCCAGCCATCCCCAGCGAGAGGCAACCCAGTTGTATATGCTTTCCATCATAACCCCTGCACAGCTATTCCAAAAGCAGGATGTCTCTGCTGTCCTGTTGAGACAGATGGCACTGGAGAATGTGCAGAGTCTGGGAGACAGAGCCTCTTTTGTTTTTTAAGATTTTATTTATTTTATTTTGAAAGAGAGAGAGCATGGCGTGGGAGGAAGGGCAGAGGGAGAGGGAGAGAGAGAATCTCCAGCAGACTCCACACTCAGCGCAGAGCCTGATGTGGGGCTCGATCCCACGACCCTGAGATCATGACCTGAGCCAAAATCAAGAGTCAGACGCTTAACTGACTGAGC